AAAAAACCTTACAACTAACCTCGATAAATTTTGTTTACATGCAGTTGCCGGATTTGCGACGCATTGCTCGAATCGCCGTGGCGCTTTGCACCCGAGAGGCAAAGTTTGAAGCAGTACAACGCCACTATATCAAAATATATCGATCTCATTTTTTGTTATGTTATATAAAATTTATCCCCCTTTAACATATATGTAAAAATTGAGGTTAAGAAGTGTTAAGCTTTTGCAGACGAAACGGCGAAAGACGATTAGGTGATATTTAGTGGAAGGAGGAGGTATTCAACACTTTCAAATTAAACTCAAATTTTGGCATTATACGACCAACAAGTTTGACTTATAGGCATACAGACACAAACATATGAAACTGTTTATTGATATTGTTATGAAACGAATTTATCTATTTAACATTGTAGCCTGAAATTACAGAAAGAAAATAGGATTTCCGGTTTGCAAAAAGGAAAATTTCGCCGGCCTTCAAGCGCACCGGAAGCGCGGAAAGAGCGCTCGTGCCAGTCCTACTCCGCATCATACATTAAATGAAGAGCGAAGCGCTCGTTTCACCTTCCACCATTTATCCGCCCTGCATGAAACTTCCTGTGACATCGTGTTTAAATTCAAAAATATTTAAATAACAAAAGCAACATTTAACAACAGAAAATTCATGAATAACCTGGCATTCGTCGACCAAATCCATGTTTGTTTGCCATGTGACACGGGAGGAAAAGGGATAATCCCATATATGGATGGGCTAGATAGGTAAGTACCGCCTGATAGGGTATGGTTTTTGAGGATCTCGGGCCTTTAATAGGGTATCATTTTTTACGTTGTTGGCCTTGTTACTTTGGTTTGATCCTCATATAGGGTAACTCAAGTAGTAATGGATGGTTTATTCCATCCTTTCCATTTTGTGGAAAAACAGTAATCCAGAACACGCTCGGAAGAATTGCAAGATCTTACGAGTTGTATATACGCAGGGAAGGATATTTTTTTACTATCCCCATGGTATTTGCTTTAGAGGACTCCTTATAGAAACTAATTGTTTTAAGATGGAATGAGTACTCCTTTTGTTCCTATATAGGACCAAATCAAGCGAGAATAATGGACCAAATGCCCAGCCGGCTCAGTGTAAGACCCCAAATGAGTGTTATAAAAACAGGTACATATGAAGGTATTGGCGAGCGACTAATTGGATTTTGGGTTCAGATTTCTGTTGTGGTTCGACGGTTTGCCACTGGTGACAGTCTTTTTTAATTTGCAGTAAACATTTTGAATCTTTCCAGGCCTCGTTTGATTAAGTTGGCCAAAATATGGAAGCCGCTATTACTTCTTTAAGATTGCTCGTTAGACAAGGACGTTGCACCACGTGTTGCGTCGACCTGTTATAAGATCTAACAAGGAAAGCTTGAACTCTCCTGGTGTCCTTATTCAAATGATGTAGGATGGATGTTACGATTTGCGGAAATTAAATGCTTTTTAATAATAGCTCGTTTGTGTGTAGTGTGTCTAGCTCTGTCTAGAATCTGAACTCTGGCAATGCTCTGTCCAGAGGCACATCCGATCCCCGTATTGGCCATATAAGGAAGTACACCCGCCCGGCAACCATTGAATGCAAGTCACCTAGTACAATAGCAAGGTTTAAGAATACAGCATTTCGTAAGTCAGATAACTAATCTACATTAAGCTAAAAAAAATGTTTAGGACTGTGAATAAGGTTAAATGTTTGAATGAGCGGAGATGTTACGTGCTAGCAGACGTCATCATCTTTAATTTGTTTATGAAGTACCATGCATATTTTGGCGCTATATTAATGTTGACGAAGTAAGTTTAATTACTCTCAAAACGTTATTACAAAGTGCGATGGAATTATTACAAATTGCGACACCTTAGTTTATTACAAAGTGCGATGGACAGTTGTTACAAATTGAGACAGCTTTTTTTATTACAAAGTGCGACACGGTTTATTACAAATTGCGACAGGTGTTACAAAGTGCGATGGACTTATTACAAATTGCGACAGGTATTACAAAGTGCGATGATTATTACAAATTGCGACAGGTCCGGTTGTAAGTACACAGAAGACAGAGTTACTTGACTCATCCGAGCAATGACGAGGGCTACACTCACCGCCATGTGCGTCTTCAACGCCTTCTTCGGTTTTACCGCCATCACACTAGACATTGTAACAATACTCGCTTTAAGAAAACCATTGACGATACCAAACGCTGTAAAAACATTACTGATGAGTCTGGCTGTATCTGATCTTGGTGTTGGTTTACTGGTTCAACCTTTGTACATTACACGTCTTGTCATGCAGATAAAAGAAAACACTCAAACCGTAACTTTTGAGATTATAGACAACCTTTACAAAGCCATAGGGAATTTTCTTATTTATGCCTCGTTCTTGGGTGTTGTAGCTCTAACCGCAGACAGATTTTTGTTGTTCATCTTCATCTCAGATACAAAGAACTAGTGACTCACAAGCGTGTTGTTGCTGTAGTGATCTCGATTTGGATCATAAGTGCCATTCTGATGTTGATGATCAAATGGATTCCGTCAAATGTTGCCGCGATTATTTTAGTACTTGTTGAAAGCGTTTGTTATCTGGCTACAGCCTGGTGTTATTTCAAGATCTACTTAGCTGTACGTCATCACAGCAATCAAATACGCGTCCTGCAAGCACAGTTAGCACAGAATAATGAGGGAGATATAGGTAATGCTGCGAGGGAGAGAAAAACTGCAGTTGGTACATTCTATGTGTATCTTCTGTTTCTGATTTGTAATCTGCCTGCATCCACGTGTTACTGGATTATCAAAATAAGCACTGGACCAAGTACGATGTCATTGCAGTTTTTATTTTATACTAACACGTTGATGTTCCTCAATTCATCTCTCAACCCTCTGATCTACTCCTGGAAGATGAGACCTGTTCGACATGCTATCATGGAAACACTGAGAAACATATTACCATATTCAAACCAGTGAGGCCAAAAGGGAAAAAAGAAATAGTAAAGGAACTCGGCAATACACAGCTATACACCGTATGAACAACTTTGAAGACTGCAATGCAACTTTCATATATCTCTTTTCATTGCAAATGCCATCTAGGTAATTTTAACGTTCGATTTCTGCCCCGTACTAAGCGTGTAGTGACTGGTTTTCATGCCTACAGTAGGTAATTTTTGAATGAGCCGTGCGCAAAGCGAAAACCGTTATCAAAATCTTTGTATTGTTTTTGTTTTGTTTCGTTTTTTGCCGTTCAGTGTAAAAGAGCTTTAGGTTAGCATGGTAATTCAAACGCCGAAAAAGCTGAAACTAAAAGTTTTTTGTAAATTTTAGCAAATCATTATAATCGAGCAAGTTAGGTTGTGTACACAAAACGGTGATGTATAGTGATAGTTATTTGCTTCTACTAACTCAGTGAAATTACGATCTCACAATCCTTTGCCAGAGACAGAGCTGGTAAATTTTGGCGCAAATAAGTGTAAAAGCACAAGGTTAGCTTGTTTAATTCGAACGCCGAAATAGTGGAAATTAAATATTTTTCGCAAATTTTAGCCTGAAAGCATCTAAGAATCAACAAAGTTAAGTTATGTCCATTTTTCTCTGCTTAAATAAAATCCTTGTTAGCATGTAATGTGCTAACACTAGAAAGTTTCCATAATTGATTACTGTCAAAAAAAAAAAATTTTAGTCATATAAAAGAAAAATCTGTCGGTTTAAAAAAATGAGGATTGTGCGATCGTAATTTTATTGAGTTAGTGGAAGCAAATAACTACCACCACATGTATCTCACGTTTTGTGTCCACAACCTAACTTTCTTGATTACGATGATTTGCTAAAATTTTCGAAAAACTTTTAGTTTCAGTTTTTTCGGCGTTTGAATTAACAAGCTAACCTAAAGCTTTTACACTGAACAGCAAAAAACAAACAATCAAACAAACAAACAAGTTAAGAACAGGTTACCTACATATCTAACGGCACTAAAGGTTTTGATAGCGGTTTGCCTTTTGCGCACGGCACATTAAAAGTTACCTAGGCATGAAAACCAGCCACTGCACGCTAAGAAAGGGGCAGAAATCGAGTCCTTAAAATTACCTACTATGGCACTTCTATCAAGAGACGTAAAATAAAAGTTTCATCCAAATCTTCGTAGTTGTTAATTCTCGGTCTATTGCCGAGTTTCTTTACTACATCTTTATTCCCTCACTGGTGTAGATTTGGTAATGTTTCTCAGTACGTATTTCCATGATAGCATGTCTAACATGTCTCATCTTCCAGGAGTAGATCAGAGGGTTGAGAGATGAATTGAGGAATAACAGCGTGTTAGTATAAAGTCCAAACTGCAATAGCATCGTACTTGGTCCAGTGCTTGTGTGGATAATCCAGCCACACGTGGATGGCACATAACAAATCAGAAGCACAAGATACACGTAGAATGTACCAACTGCAGCTTTTCTCTCCCTCGCAGCATTAGTCACACTGTAATTTTGAGGGAGTTACAATAACTCCTCTAGTGGGGCTAATTTAACTCCTTACAGTGGAGTTATTTTTCGTGGAGTTATTTTAACGCCAAAAAGGAGTTTAAGGAACTCTTTTTTAGGAGTAAAAGTGACCCCAGATATTGAGGAGTTAAAATAACCCCCCAAATGAGTTATCCTGTACCTAAAATTTTTACTCCACTTTCAGAGTTAAATTAACTCCAAAAAGAGTAAAAACAACCCATGTAAGGAGTACAAGTAACCCCATTTCGGAGTGATTTTAACTCCAGACTGGGAGTAAAAAGAACTGTTTTTCAGGAGTAAAAATGACCCCAAATTCGGAGTTAAATTAGGAGTTAAAATAACCCCCAAAAAGGGGTTATCCTGTACCTAAATTTTTTACTCCATTTTTGGAGTTATAATAACTCCCTAAAAATTACGGTGCATATCTCCCTCATTATTCTGTGCTAGCTGTGCTTGCAGGACGTGAATTTGATTGCTGTGGTGACGTACAGCTAAGTAGATCTTGAAATTAAACAAGGCTGTAGTTAGGTAAAAAACGCTTTCAACAGGTACTGAAATAATCGTGGCAACATTTGACGGAATCCATATGAACTGTAACATCAGAATCGCACTCATGATCCAAATCGAGATCACTACAGCAACAACGCGCTTGTGAGTCACGAGTTCCTGGTATCGGAGATGAAAATGAACAGCCAAGAATCTGTCTGCGGTTAGAGCCACCACACCAAAGAATGAGGCAATACTAAGAAAAGTCCCTGTGGCATAAAAAGAGTTCAAAGTAATATCAAAATATCGAGTTTGAGCGTCTTCTTTTATCATCATGAAAAGACGTGTAATGTACAAAGGTTGAACCAGTAAACGAACACCAAGATCAGATACAGCCAGACTCAGCAGGAATATTTTTAGAGCTCTTGGTATCGTCAATGGTTTTCTCAGAGCGAATATTGTTACAATGTTTAGTGTGAAAGGGGTAAAACTGAAGAAGGCGTTGAAGACACAGTTGGCGATGAGTAAAGCTTGCATCATTGCTTAATGGCTAACCGGCATGAGTAACTTTATAAACTATGAACTTTACAAGCAAGGTCTTTACAATGTATATGGACTAAGCTGACATTATTTTTTTTGCTAATAAGCTTTGCTTTCTTCAAGTATAGCTTCAATTCCCACTTGAGATACTTAAGTTTCACCCTCAGATTCTAAAAACTCGGGGCGTTTAGTAGACAAGGGCCATTTATTTAAGAGAAGCCCCCGATGGATCATTTAAAATACGGTAAACAGGATAACAGGCATCCCTTAACATTAACGACCAACATTCATTAATTTAATTGTCATTTCCGGTCCTAATAAAAACCGAGTGAAAGAAATTAATTGCATGAATTAACGCTTATTAAAATGACCCTTTATCACCTGCCCAAGCAGTATTTCATTGAGGAACAACGATGGGTGTTGCGTTAAGAGACAGCTATACTGATTAAGCATCAAAACCTATTCAGCAGTTAATATATGGTTTTCATATATCGCGTCCTAAAGCCTTGATATTTTCTATTCTTTTAAATAAAGTATGATCCTTTTCTTTGGCTAATAAGACAAACAGGATAAATTTGTAATAAATGGAATTTTACTGGAAAAAGGGCCAACCTGGTTCAACTTGTTGTAGAAATTTAAAAAACCATGAGTCAAAAATGGACAGATGCCCTAACATATGATTTTCCGTCTCTTTATTTCCATTTATTTCGTTACTGTTTTATGCGAAAGGCTTTAGAAATCACTCTCAGTAAAAACGCAACCAGTTTGTAATGATATCGCACTGTATCAGCTCGTCAGGCGGGAGTATCTGCGACCCTTTTAAGTACCCTTTTTGAATTTTAGTGTACACGTCTGATTTCGTTAAAGGCGTAATGTAGTTTAAAATTTTTTTGCAAATATTCAGTTCTTTATAATATCTTGAACCAAAGGTAAAGAAAGAAATATCCACCTATAGATTCACTTTGTCCTTGGCGAAGGAATGTGAGCTTGTAACTTCATTGAGTTAGTAGAAGCAAATTTCTTTGAGTAAAACGTTTAGTTAAAAGCTGTGACGTTCCTTATTTTTTTAATGTCTCCTCTAAGAAGGAGACAGGATCGCAACAAGTTCTGCAGTCCAGCTCTCAATAACTGGCTTAGCCCCATTAAGGAGGGTAGAAACGGTTAGAGAAGTGTTAAATCAAGGATTCAGTCACTGTAAACAAAGAAAGTCCCGAAGTCTTTTCTTCCATGCTTCTATTAAAAACTTAACTTATTTCTGTCACCACACTATCTGCTCCTGCTCAGTTTCAAGGATATTTAGGTTCAGTACGTGATATCTTTTTATGAAAAAGAAATATATCATTTTCATTGCATTTTCCTTTTGCGAAGGGGTGGTGGAACCAGTATGATTTTCTCCCCGCCTAAAAAAAGAACTGTTAAAAAAGAAAAAATCATTTCGTTGTCAACAGAAAGGTTTATTTTATTCTATAGACCAGTGACCTTTTACATATCGCTACCACGTAGACCGGTTTTTGGAAGTAAAAAGTCTATTCACTAAAACATGCCTGCCTAGAATTTTTGGTACTAATAAACGAATTGTGAAAGGTTTGAACCCAGGAGTCATTTCAAAACGAATTCTCTTTCTCTTTGACTTAAGCATGTTCCAATTTATCACATAGCCATAGAACGAAAATGACAAAGGCAGGGAAGGCCATTGGAATAACAAGAATATCACACAAACGCTAAGTTGGCATGTTCGGCTCGAGCTCGTACGAAGGAACATCCGTGTTTCAAACGATCAAAAATTTCAGTCAGTCAGAGAAAAAGAAAAAGCGAAAACTGAGTTCATATGAGTCTGGATTTGAAGGAAGAGCTAGCATTTTTTTCGCGTTATAACTTTTATTGTTGTAGCTATATTTAATTGCAACGCTTTTGCTTTAATAGATAATTAGTCACAATACTGCAACCGAAAGGTGAAGCTAAAAAAGAAAATGCTTCACAGTTTTACTATTCTTTGATTACAGCAAATTAGTTTAGACTATGCCAAATAAAGTAGTACAATTCGCTTACGTAATGGGTGTTCCATCTGAAATATTGCCTTTTGCGAAGGATTGCGAACGTGAACTCTGATTTTAGAGTTTATTAACAACACAGAGAGAAGCTGACATGTGCTTTGAGGTCAAGACGTTTTCCGCCCGAGTCTTTTTACTGCCACCGTTTTTCGCACAATTCGTTTCTTTTGTGACGTCTCGTATGTAATTGTTGTACCTTTTACCGTTCAGTCTTTCTATCAGGAATCAGCGAGTTTTTATTTATTACTGAAGAAGAACATATAAAACAGCTTGACAGTAAATTATTTTTTTACAAGATGCTTCTTATTACAGGGAAACTTTTTTTGCTAGCAAGAATTTCATTTAAGCTGAGAAAAATTGACTCAAAACATTATTATCGCTATATATATCATATTTGTGTCCATAACTTAACTTTCTTGATTCTGATGATTTCCTAAAATTCATGAAAAGTAATCTCAAAAGTTAGAGTTTGAGTGTTTTCTTTTATCAGCATGACAAGACTTGTAATATACAAGGGTTGAACTAGTAAACCAACAGCAAGATCAGATACAGCCAGTGCAGACTCAGCGTTAATACTTTTAGAGCTCCTGATATCGTCAATGGTTTTCTCAGAGCGAGTATTGTTACAATGTTAAGCGTTATGGCGGTAAAAGGCAAGAAGGTGTTGAAGACGCAGTTCGCGAGTAATGAAGCTTGCATAATTATAACCGTCTTGGATAACTCACTAGGCAAAGTAATAACTTTCTAAAAAATCTTCCAAAGTGAAATGGTTGGTTATATCAATATGCTTTTCTTTCTTAAGTCCAGCTTCTCACACCAGATACTTCAGATTCACCCTCAAAAATTCTAAAAATTGTTGTTTTTAACGTGTTGAGTTAGATAAATTAAAGTAAATGCAAATTTAAGGGTATATTTCATTGAAAAAATCATGAAGTTAAAACTTGCTGGAGGTTTTGTTCAAATTTTATGATCTTGGCAAATGCGTGGCAAATAAATAACAGCGACCAAATTAAAAGTGAATGTTAAAGTGACAACAACAATTAACAAAAACAAAAAAGGTAAGCGAGGGAAAAAATAGAAGGAGCTGGAAATTCGTCGGTTAACATATAAATAGCGTCAAATACTTTTTTTATAGTCTTTGATTGGTTTCGTTTAGCATTTATTTTGATGTTCATTAAGTTTGAAAGCTCGAAAAATACACTCGGCAACGCATAATTATTGAAGTAGAGTTTAATTTTTGCTTGAAAAACTCAAAACTTTAGAATCGAACTCTGTGTCTGTCCACTGGATGTTACAGTTCTTTAATTTTCTTTGCGAATTAGCTTCTCCTTCAAATATAGACTCATGAACTCAAATTCCGCTTGTTTTTGTTCCTTTAACTGACTGAAATGTTCCATTTTTAGATCACGCATGTTCCTCTAAACGAGTGAGAAAATGAAAACTCAGGTTTTGTTGAATATACTTGTTTTTCCAGTGAATTCCCTGCGCTGCTCTTTTCGCTTTAAAAAAGCCTATAATGTCTGCTTAAAGTTCTTAGATAATTGACAGCAAGAGCCATAATAGGACAGTCCTATTATAGCTCTTGCTGACAGTTATTCACCTTTGTCTCACTTTTTCTTAAAAATTCCTTTTCAATCCACAAATGGTGCTCTTCATAAGTTATTAATTTAAAAGTTTCATTCAAATGCCTTAAAAATTTGCAGTTATTAAAACAGCGAGGTGAGAAATAGACCTTGTGTTATTGCTCTGTTACTTTTGTCACGAACTATACGTAGTTTAACAAGGCCAGGTGTGAAATAATTTGGTAATGGCTAAACTGAAATTGAAACTGTGAAGAACAACTAAATTTAAAGCGGCGTTAACTAATTCTCAATTACTTGGAGATTAGATACGAAATGAGGAGGCGATTAATTCTACACGAAAAAGAAGTTACTCGCGAAAGGTTCTTACTTTATCGACGTTCGAGTATTCTTCAGGATATTTACTTTTTATTTCTTATTTATTTCTGAATTGATGTTTTTTAACTTAGTATGCATGTTAGCGACGACCGGAAATACGACTGCGTTTGCAGGTTGATACGCGTGTGTAATAAATACACGAAAATTCGTGATGAACAACAGCGCGTCATTTCAATCATCGCCGAAAATAAAGCGCATGCTCATCACAAGACTAATTTTCACACAATAAAAGACCAGTTAGCCTCACCATCGAAGTTTTGCTAATTAAGATTCTTCTGTTTTTTTTTTTCGACCAATGAAGTGTTCACTTGTTCCAAAGTAGTCAACGCTTTCAAGCGAAAGAATTCGTGGACCAACCCGTTCCGGAAAAGTTGTAAATGGCATTATAAGGCTTTCTTCGCTAAACATGCGTGTTTATTCGGTCACGCAACGATTCTTGTTCCCAAATTCCACAGTCGCCGCA